AGATTTAAACATCAAGCAGTTACATGCTTTAAAAATAATAAAAATTATAACTATAATTGCTATTTCTTCTTTCAAATGTTTAATACTTGTAAAAGTATTCGTTTGACATTGTGGGTTTACCTATAATGCGAAGAGATGGCGCTGCCTTGCAGCTTAAGAATAGCTAGAAAGAATTTCGACGCGGTCCGTGAGGGCCGCGGTAGCATAATTGGTCAGTGCATTCGCCCGGATTGCGAAGGGTGCGGGTTCGAGTCCCGTCTGCTGCCTGGTCCGCGTGGAATTTTTTCTAGTTATATTTTCTTAAGATTTAAACATCAAGCAGTTACATGCTTTAAAAATAATAAAAATTATAACTATAATTGCTATTTCTTCTTTCAAATGTTTAATACTTGTAAAAGTATTCGTTTGACATTGTGGGTTTACCTATAATGCGAAGAGATGGCGCTGCCTTGCAGCTTAAGAATAGCTAGAAAGAATTTCGACGCGGTCCGTGAGGGCCGCGGTAGCATAATTGGTCAGTGCATTCGCCCGGATTGCGAAGGGTGCGGGTTCGAGTCCCGTCTGCTGCCTGGTCCGCGTGGAATTTTTTCTAGTTATATTTTCTTAAGATTTAAACATCAAGCAGTTACATGCTTTAAAAATAATAAAAATTATAACTATAATTGCTATTTCTTCTTTCAAATGTTTAATACTTGTAAAAGTATTCGTTTGACATTGTGGGTTTACCTATAATGCGAAGAGATGGCGCTGCCTTGCAGCTTAAGAATAGCTAGAAAGAATTTCGACGCGGTCCGTGAGGGCCGCGGTAGCATAATTGGTCAGTGCATTCGCCCGGATTGCGAAGGGTGCGGGTTCGAGTCCCGTCTGCTGCCTGGTCCGCGTGGAATTTTTTCTAGTTATATTTTCTTAAGATTTAAACATCAAGCAGTTACATGCTTTAAAAATAATAAAAATTATAACTATAATTGCTATTTCTTCTTTCAAATGTTTAATACTTGTAAAAGTATTCGTTTGACATTGTGGGTTTACCTATAATGCGAAGAGATGGCGCTGCCTTGCAGCTTAAGAATAGCTAGAAAGAATTTCGACGCGGTCCGTGAGGGCCGCGGTAGCATAATTGGTCAGTGCATTCGCCCGGATTGCGAAGGGTGCGGGTTCGAGTCCCGTCTGCTGCCTGGTCCGCGTGGAATTTTTTCTAGTTATATTTTCTTAAGATTTAAACATCAAGCAGTTACATGCTTTAAAAATAATAAAAATTATAACTATAATTGCTATTTCTTCTTTCAAATGTTTAATACTTGTAAAAGTATTCGTTTGACATTGTGGGTTTACCTATAATGCGAAGAGATGGCGCTGCCTTGCAGCTTAAGAATAGCTAGAAAGAATTTCGACGCGGTCCGTGAGGGCCGCGGTAGCATAATTGGTCAGTGCATTCGCCCGGATTGCGAAGGGTGCGGGTTCGAGTCCCGTCTGCTGCCTGGTCCGCGTGGAATTTTTTCTAGTTATATTTTCTTAAGATTTAAACATCAAGCAGTTACATGCTTTAAAAATAATAAAAATTATAACTAAACTTTTCTTTATATAATATAGTATTTTAAATGTGTTTTTGAAGTGTCGTTACACAAATAAACAAATAAACATTTCCCACTTACACCAAATTAGCCTAGCCCTAAAGTAAGCACTTATACTTACTTACTACTTACTTTTTACTTACTAAGGCTTGTGTTATGGGATGCTAGAGTAACAGATAGAATACATCATCAGCCTGTTAATGTCCCCACTGCTGGGGCACAGGCCTTCCCTGTGGATGGAATAGGGAGATTGGGCCATGACCCACCACGCGGGCCCAGTGCGTTTTGGTGGGTGGCTGCAGATGCAGCCAATTTAAGATTTTGATAGAATACATATATAGATATATTTTTATCTAGAAAAATATATGAACATCCATAACAAAAGTACAAATGTAAATGTCGGGGCAAATGTTAGTATTCATCATACTAACATTTGCCCCGACCGGGATTGGAACGTATCGCTTCAATGAACTGGTTGGCAAGTCATTCTCAGGAACGGTATACATAAATTTACTATATAATCTTAGAAAATAAAATAGATTTTATATTGTAACAATGGTGTCGATTCTGGCAGGGTTACCTAAACTTTTTGACAACAGTGTATTCTTGTCATTCTGTATACAGAATGAAAAGGAGTCTGATGTTAAGTTTAGAGAATCATGCCAAAATCGACCCCACTATATAATAGTTTTAAAACTATTAAATTGCTGATGTTTTTACAAAAATACACGGCATTTTTAATAATGCAATTAGGAAAAAAAAGTTTAAACACTCAAGTCGTTATAATCTTTAAATCTTTTTTTTTTATCATGGGCGAATTACAAATTTATTTATTTTTCAAATATTGGACTTTTCATGTTTAGTCAAAATGTCTGACTACCTCCAACAGTGTGCGAGCGAAAACATTCGCTTAACTTTACTTTAAAACTTACTAACAGCCGCTAAAGACAGAATGGGAGCACATTCTTCTAGAATACTGCCAAAACTCGATTCAGTCACGGACGTACTCAAACTATGCTACAAGTACTATTTATTTGTATATCAGCTTATCCATTTGTAACATCGACCAATTCAATTATGTATAATAAAAAAAATTAATGAAACTACAATGAGTTCTGGTAATCCGCTAGTTTCCGTTGTAGAAATGAGATGTTACGCATGAAAGCATAACAGACAGACAAGTTACTTTTGCATTTATAATTACTGTATAGTAGCTATGGTATAGATACTTATGAATATACAGAGGCCTAAGCACGAATCTTATAGACTGAGAGCCAGTGATCAGCAGACTTACGGTATAGTAGCAAACTCCATATTAATGCTAGTTATACTAATTCATCTGCCGTAGATCAAATGGGGGTTCACTATTCCCATAGAGTGTTCCTTCCTTTACGCGTGCCTAGAAGTCGAAAAGCATAAAAATCGACTTTCAAAACGTCATCGCAGCATGTCTGCCGTTTTGATATCTTAAAATATATTTTTTTTTCTGTAGAAAAACTTAATGGCAGACACTTGCTCCAGTTCCTACTATATTTTATATAATATCATCATAGTTTCCAAAATTTCATAAAATTTGCTAAAAGCTAAAAATTACATAAAATATGTTATTTATATTATAATTATAAACATATATTTACAAAAATATGAAATGGAGTTTGCTACTATGCTGTAAGTCTGCGGAACAGTGGCTCTTAGACTATTAAGAGATCCGTAATCGTATTGCAACGTCGAAGTTTCTATGAAAACTAAACAGCGCCCCTATCGGAAGTAAGAGCAAACTGGCTTTTTTCATACAAAAATTCACGTTGACTATACGATTACGGAACTATCAAAATTGGTGTTTAGGACTCTGTATTTCCATCATCTAGTAGATATCTATAAACTAGTTACAGTGTGACTTATACTGCATAAGTTAAAGTAAATTTGTATGAACTAATCGAGAAGCTAAGTTTCTGGTAAATAATGTGGAAATTTATCAATCAATCATAATTGTTTATGAAAGTTAAAGGAACTATTAATTGTAAGTATTCTATTTTTATGGCATCGTTTGAACACGTCTCACTTCAAACAATATATGAGAAGTCTTATCTATATTTATATTATCTTTAACTTGCGTACATACCTATTGATAAAACTCTAATCAAATAACTGTGTGCTTTTGACATAATTTTCAACAAATATGAATTCTTTTAACAAAGTTACACTAAATTTTTTCATCGCTGATTTAAAATTGATAACCGGTTTATATCAAAATATAATTTTATATTCTTTCAAATGAATCGTTAAAGATATTTAGATACATTAAGATAAGATTTGACTTCTCATATATTATTTTACAAATAAATAATAATAAAAGCTCTGCAAATTGTTAAATATACACATTCCAAACCTTAATTGATTCCTCTCCATACTGCAAGAAGTATTTATAAAATGGAACATAGTTCATCACAATACAAATTTTATGGGAAATCAAAAATGTGAAAAATAATAAAAAAATGAAAATTGTTGAATAAAAGCAGTGTAAATTGAAAAATTGTAAATTTTGTAGATTAGTAATACTCTGTAGGTAAATTACTACTACTTTTTTGTAATAAAAGTAATATACAATGTGCATTACAAAATATTTCATAATTAGATTTAATTATTATTGGACTGGTTTGATAAATTTATATAAAGATAGATTCACTACTTGTATGATAAAAAATTATATAATTAAGTCAATAATGTGAATACAGTTTGCAAAACGAGAATTATTAAAAAAATCCATTCTTTATTTTGTCCCAAGTGTAAGTGAGTGTGTAGAAATTAGTGTTATCACAGTATGCGTTTTAACCAACAGTGTTGCGCTCACCCTAGACATAATTAAATTTTGATTTTGTGTTGTACACTGTCACGCCACTGATGTTAAGTGTAAGGGTCAGTTTACACCGAGTCGCAACGCGTCGGGTAAACAACACAATGCAGACACATACCTTGGCTATTGTATTCGTAAACTTGACATTTCACTCCTTTGAAGTGATGATAAAGACAGACTATATGTTTTTGCGTGCGCTGCAAAAACTATTGACAATAGAACAAAATGATGTACTATGGGTTAGTAGATCCCATTAAGACCTACAAAAAAGTCCGCGAGAACATATATCTAGCTATCATGGTTTAATCACAATAACCGATTTTGTGTTCAAAATAATTATTAAATCGTCTGAAGAAAAAAAAACTACGTTAAATATGTATCGTTATATTAAAAACACAGACAACCCTTAATTTACACCCCTCTACCACCCATATTTTTATGGCGATACGAAGTTCGCTGGGTCAGCTAGTAGTAAATATCTAAAGCCAAGTAAAACGTCGGCATAACAAATAGACATTTGTATGTAAATGTTTGGCGTGTATGTATGTAGTGTACACGTGTGCGGGGTCACTGACCTCAGTAGTTGTGGTTGCGAGAGTGTGAGCGAGAGCGAGAGCGCGAATAGCTGCGGCGCACGGGCGAGTATGTGGGCGAGCCGCGTCTACGAGGCGAGTACGAGCGAGACCTGCGCAACGACAAAAAAACATTAGTTTCCGTGCCTAGTTCAAGTTTATAGTATATTTTCCTATAAGATTGAAGAAAAACACCCTTGGCAGTCAAAAGGAAAAAACTAATGAAATGAAAAGTCATTTATTCAGTCTAGGCTGTTACAAGCACTTGTGAAGGTCAAGAAGCTACACCATCAGTTCGCAAAACTACGGCGCGAGACCTTGTACTGAGAAGAACCGGCAAGAAACTCAGCAAGGGCTGCTTTTTTCTCCCTGTATTGATATATACAGAGTCGTCAAGTTGAAAAATGACTTCAAAGATACTTCTGATTATTCAATAATATATTTCATAAAACAAAATCATGGCTAAAACATAAAGAATATACAAAACCATGTTAAAAATTTTACAATTTCAATAAGAAGTGTCCATTCTTCACCAAAACTTTTATGACCCCTAACATTATAATAATTTATATTATTTACTGGATTGCTACCATGTATCTTGTTTTGGATGAGTTTCCGATATTTCGGTCTGTTGCAAGGGAATGTTGTGAAAAACCTGGAGTCTACAAAATCTATTGCAGCTGTAGCAGTTCCTACATTGGCCAAACAAAGCGAACAATAGCGTGCCGAATGAGAGAACAATAAACCAAGAACAACGATTCACAGAAATCAGCCATCGCGGAACATTTGATTGATTCTGGTCCTAACCACTGGATTGAATTGCATAATCTACAAATTATCTTGACAATACGCCACTGAGAAGCGATACAGAAGTTCATTCACCTTACACGAAACTATGGGTCTGACAGTCTAATAAATAACTATCATCTATATATATAAAACTCAAAGGTGACTGACTGACATAGTGATCTATCAACGCACAGCCCAAACCACAGGACGGATCGGGCTGAAATTTGGCATGCAGGTAGATGTTATGTTATGTTACGTAGACATCCGCTAAGAAAGGATTTTGATCAATTCTACCCCCAAGGGTATAAAATAGGGAATGAAAGTTTGTATGAAACTTTGTCAATTTTAAACCGATCGGGCTGAGACTTTGCATGCAAGTATAAGAAGAATCATAGATGAATTTCATTGTTTAAAATACAAGCCTGAGAACAAAAACATGTAGTCTACACTTCAGCTCTACACCGAAGCGAAGCAAGGGCGGGCCGCTAGTCTCATATAAACGACAAGGTCTTGTTCGGCCATTTCACGTCATCGCCGAGTCAACGAGTTAGCCAATATTCGATCGCCCATTTTATATTGTTACGTCTCGGGATGGGGTTCGAAATTATATGATAGTTCACGCTTGACAGTACTTTATTTACCACACAGTATACACTGTTTGTAAATTGCACATCTCCTGGGATAAGTTTGACTCTAAATTCCTTCCTTGATCGCTGTGTAATTCCAACGGAACGCCGAATCGGCACACTACTTCTTCAACAAGCCTCTTGGCTACGGTCTTAGCCTCTTATTTGGTGTAGCAAACACTTCGGGCATTTGGTGAAATAATCTTGAAACACCACAATGTAACGGTTTCCATCTTCTGTTTGTGGAAACGGCCCAGAGACGTCAATGGCAATTCTTTCCCAAGGAACGCCGACCTGGCAAAGCTGCATCTTCCCCTTGGATCTAGTGCGAGGCCCTTTGACCGAGGCGCATATATCACATTTCCTACACCAGTCCTCGACATCTTCTCGACAGCGCATCCAGTAGAAGCGTTCCCTCACTTTCACTAAGGTCTTCCTTATTCCCAGGTGTCCACCAGACGTATCATCGTGTACATGTCTTAAAACCTGAGCCACTTTACACCTCGTGACCACCCTTTGTAGAGTCGGCTCCTTACCATTTGGTGACACCCATTTCCGATACATCACTGTCCCATTGGGCCCAGTATGCCTTCGTGGTTTGGTTTGAAGCTGATATGTCACTCCATGATGGTTTCTGTCCCTCACTTTTCCCCTTTATTATCAGCTGCAGGTACTTGTCTTCCTTCTGCGCCCGAGATATTTCTGCTTTACTCCAGGATTCATCAAATTCTTGAGCCCTTTATAACCTTCACTTCGTCTTTGCTTGTTTGTTGTCTTCGTATTTACAATCTCCAGCACAAGGTCGCCTTGATAATGCACCAACATTGGCGTACGTTTTTCCGCTTCGGTATTCTAATACGAAGTTGAATTCTTGCATCTGCTCGGTCCATTTCGCCACTTGACCCTCAGGGTTCTTGAACTGGAGTAACCATTTAAGTGCTGCATGGTCAATACGTATAGTGAACTCTCTTCCCAATAAGTATTTATTAAAGTGTTGTAAGGTCTGTACAACTGCTAGAATTTCGCGTCAAGTTACACAATAATTTCTCTCTTGGTTTGAAAGAGACTTGCTGAAGTAAGCCATGTCCATTTTTTTGTTGTGACAGTATTCCGCCGATTCCTGTATTACTAGCATCAGTATCCACAATGAAGCTTTCCTCTCTTCGTGGATAGCTTAGGATTGGTGCAGGACAAAGTAAAACCTTTAACTTCGTGAAAGAGCGTCGACAATCTGTGTCCCAAACGAAATTTTTCTTCTATTCCGTGAGACGATATAATGGCCTGGCTATCTCAGAGAAGCTCTTCACAAATCTGCGGTAGTACGCACATAAGTCTAGAAAAGCGCTCACTTCAGTCATATTTCTCGGTGTTGGCCATTCCTGCACAGCTTTTACCTTTTCAGTATCAGTTTGGATACCCTTTTCAGATATTATGTGCCCCAAGAAGGCTACTTCCTTCTTGAAGAACGAGCACTTTTCTGGATTGAGCTTCAGGTTTGACTCGCGGATTCCTTCAGTGTTCCGTAAAGCTGCGTCCCTAACGATGACATCGTCCAGGTATACGAGACAAGCATCCCCCCCAATAGCCCCACCAACACGTTCCATGAGTCGTTCGAAAGAGGCTGGTGCGTTGCACAATCCAAAGGGCTCGACCCGAAACTGCCACAACCCATTTCCAGTACCAGTAGTGAACGCAGTCTTCTCTTTATTCTCTAGGCGAAGTTTCACCTGCCAGTAGGCACTCTTCAGGTCAACTGTGGAAAAGCACTTCATGCCTCCCTACATGTCCAATGTGTCGTCAATACCAGGTAATGGATAGCTGTTTTTCTTGGTCACATTGTTCAGCATCCTGAAGTCCATGCAGAATCTGGTGCTGCCGTCTTTCTTCTTCACCAATACTATCTACCAACTTCGCTATTTTGGCACCATATTTGGACTCAGCGACCCCGAAAACATAAAGTTCAGGTAATCTGGTCTTTCGCACAGGGTACTTTTTTTGTGGGCCTGTGTTATCGTTTTTTACTTTTTATTCAAAATGATAAAAGTCTAGTTATAATTTTTATTTTTTAAAGCATGTAACTGCTTGATGTTTAAATCTAAAGAAGATATGGCGCTGCCTTGCAGCTTAAGAATGGCTAGAGGAATTTCGACACGGTCCGTGAGGGCCGCGGTAGCATAATTGATCAGTGCATTCGCCCGGATTGCGAAGGGTGCGGGTTCGCGTCCCGTCTGCTGCCTGGTCCGCGTGGAATTTTTTTTCTAGTTATATTTTCTTTATGATAAAAGTCTACTAAAATAATAAAAGTCCTATATTAAATTTCATAAATAAAATATTATTTTCAAAATTTTTGTCAACTGCATTGGTCAATGACCTTTCATCTATGTTTACATTTTGTATCGCTTCTCATTGGCCGTATTACATACTGAGATTGGTCAGGGAAGCGATTAAAATAACAAATCATAAAAATTTCAACCGTGAAGATGGATTTAAGTTGTAGAGTATATGGAATCCTGTGCTTTGTATTATACTATGCAAAAACCGGAATAATAAAAAAAGTGTCATGTCGTGATCCAATAAAGTGACGTGATATAAATAAAGAATAAAGTGAGTTATTCTGACGATGTAGACCTGAAAAGGCTGCGAAACGTCAATAAATTAATAATAATAATAATAATTAATTAAGTTTCGTGCATTAACCCGTAAAAACTAGTTTTATCCAATAAAGTGACTTGTATGACAAGCACAGTTTCGAGTGAATAGTGTAAACGTGAAAAGTGGTACGGGTATCAAACACAGTAAAAGACTTCGTCGGAGGGTAGACCGATATGTCTGCCAATAACAGCCTACCCGCAATTACTTTAGTAACTCCTTGATCATGGCGCTTGCAACAGTGCCGAAATATCGGAAACTCGCTAACAACAAGGTACACAGTAGCAATCGTAAATTATATAAATAACTATAAAACAGCGTGCTTTTATCAAACCATGATTCGAGTGGAAACACTGAAGTCCACAACTGTTCGTTTCTAGGGATCTTTTATTCCACAGGCAATAAAATTATGGAATAAGTTTCCTTCCATGGTGTTCCCTCAGTACTATAACAAGTTTTGCTTCAAGAGAGGCTTCGGTAGAGTTTTCCATGAAAGGCAGCGGAATGACTGTGTCACTGGTTGATGCCCATGGGCAACAGTGACCACTTAACATCAGGTAGTTCGTCTGACAAACAAGAAAAACATTGGTGTGCTTTTATGTTACCATGATACAAGTCAAACTTTTAAAGTGTTAATAAGTTATTAGTTGATGTCCACTTTGGCTAACAAAAAGTGGAAAACAAAAGAAATCTGTTCTCGGCTGGGATTCGAACCCAGGCCGCCTGTAAAACTAGCCTTCTGAACTTCAAGTTAGTTTTGAATAATAAATAAAATTTTATGCATTTCGCTACACATAAAACGAAAAAAAAAAATTGTTCAATTGAATTTGACTATTGATTCATCGGGTAAGATAATGGTTCAGCGCAATGGAAACCCCAACCGATCCCAAGATCGGCGCGTTGATCGCACTTTTTCGACCCGCCCACTTGATCGCAGTTTGCGTGGGACCGTGTTATAATGCAATTCATAATCGTTATTTTTAGTTATTGGTTGCATAGTAGGTTGTATTAGATTGTGCACTGACCGGTCTCGGTCGCCGCTGTATCTGTCGCCGCCGCCGCCGCCGCCACCGCCGCCGTAGTCTTCCTTCACGCGGATGTACGACACCTCGCCCTGCATAATACGTACATAACTCAGCACCTGGAGGCCTACTCTATTTCAACGAAAAACGAAATTTCGATCGAAATTTCGCACGTTCCCTACTCTGTTTCCTTTTCATTTCGAAAATTCGTTCACCGAAATATTTTGACAATTAAATTCTCCAAGCCTACTCTAATTCACAAAACTTTCGAAGGAAAAGTTGAATTTGACAGATAATTGTTCGAAATTTTGAACTCAAATCGACGAAATGAAAAGTGTTACCTTTTCATTTTGAGATTTTTGTTTCAATTAAGCCTAAAATACTTGCAAGAGTATTTTTAATAATAGCTGCTTAGCTCGAGAAACTTTTTTAGCATGTAAAATTAACAAATAAACCATTTTTATATTATTTTTTGTAATTTCGATACTTCAAAGTATTAAACGACAAATTGAGATTGACATACAGTAGATTGTATCGACTCTACAAATTAGTCGGCTAACACTGTCAAAGAAGGTTCTTTCAATGTCATCTAAAAATTTGCCGTAAACTACCTATATTGTTTCCAAGTAAAAAACGTTTTCTTAAAAGTAGAGATAAAAAGAACTCATAAACATGACTCATTCCATTCGTTCACGAAAACTGTTTATGGTTCCGAAGTTAATGTGCCTGTTCGAAAATGAAATAGAGTAGAGACACTGGCGAAATTTCGTTTGAAATTCGTTCGTTACCGAAATTTCGTTTCGGAGAAAGAGAGTAGAGCTCCTGATCACCTTTAACACTAATTGTCTCACTCATTGTTAGTGTAATAAATAATAAGACAAATATCAATTTATAATCCCGACTTGGTAAATTCCTGCTAACCCCTGGTCTGTGTGAGTGGATGATTTCTGCTATGAGTTAAGAAAATTATTTTCATTTTTCATATTTTGCATTTTATCATATTTAGTTACAATTTTTAATTTACACATCTAATATGGATAAGTTTGTAGAGAAACTATTCAGGATTGATTAGAGACATTGATGAAGCTTGGATGTACAGTAGAACTCGAATAATAAGTGTAAAATCGACCGGTTTTCTTTTTGATTTTCCAGCCGTAAAAACAAAATGGAAGGCGGATTTATAATCCCGACCAGCGGGGTTAGCAAAAATCTATGCACAGAAAAACTCAGAAAATGAAAAGTGCTAAAATGCTATTTTCCGTAAATGAAATAATGTAACTCTACATAATAATATTTATACCCATCAAATTATATGTAGAACAGTTCAAAGTTATCTAAGTAATTTCATGAAGTATCAGACTAGAAAAAGATAGGTAAAATCCACCTTACGAAAGACCACACTAAAATAACACTACCTTTTGTTGGCTCTGTCCGCGAGTAAAGTTTTAGGGCTCCAATGGGTAGGGTATGGGGTCAAGGTAGGCAACAGCGAAATATTTTAGGTATCACAAGTGTTAAAGGCTTTGTACCTATCAGGTGGGCCATAGGCTTTGTTTGCCACCCGCTTAACATAAAGAAAACGCACCTCGTGGCTTCTGAAGCGCGAATCATCCAGCTTCTTGACAGCGTACTTCATGTCCTCGTGCCTCAAGAACTCCACCACGCCTGTGCCGTCCTTGAAGGTGTCCGCGAAACACACGTCCCCGGCCTCCCGCATGTGGTCCTTCAGATCCTGGTAGGTGAAATGCGAAGGGTGAGAAATATTGTATTATCAAGGCTCTATGAAAATTAAGCAACACCTCTATCAGACATAAGAATAAACTAGCTTTTTTCATACAAATCTAACAATGACGATACTATTATGGTGCTTGGGCCTGTGATATGATTGTTAGAAAACAACAAAAAACCCTGTATTCATGCGTTTCCTTTAAATAGGGAGATTGACCCATGGCCTACTAAGCGGGCCCAGTGCGGATTGAAGCTACAGTTACACATGCTGATTACTTGCACGAAAGCATGCCACTATTGAGCAATTGCTACTTAGTAGTATGTGTGTCGAAACATTGCTAATAATGAGTATGCTCATTTTGAGTTTGCTCAAAAATCAACGGTCGTGCGATTTTTGGGCATGCTACCTGCACCGCGGGTGGAGGGGGGCGTGCTTTTAGCGCGTGTGAACAGGTTTGCCTATTGAGCATGCTAGTATCGATTAGTCGTTCGCAACAGGTGCGTGTGCACTATCTTCACGCAAAATGTCTCGCTGGGGCGACGAAAAAACGCTCAAATTTGTAAATTTATACCGAAATCACGAGTGCTTGTGGAATCCCCGCATACCGCAGTATAAAAATAATGTTGATCGAAATAAATCTTCTAGATATCCAATCACAAACCCAAATCTTTCTCTTTCTTTTATTTTTTTGCCGAGCTGTTATAAGCTTCTGGATGCATTGCATCGCCAGCAAAAGGATGATTTTATTCAGCTCCATACGGATAGCTGTTTGATTGTCCATGGCTTTGTTTGAACTGACAGAGAGTGAGAGAGCATGCTATAAAATGGCATGTGTATTGGAGTGTTTGCTTTGAGCATGCTAATTCAGAGGCGTACTTAAAACTAGCATGCCTATTGCTAGCAAATGTAAACTGCTCATAAGCATGCTCATATTGAGCATATTCAATAGCATGCTTTTTAGCATGCTATTTTAGAGCATGTGTAACTGTAGCTTGATAGCTGCTAACGACTGCAGATCCAGCCGAGACCAACGGCTTAACGTGCCTTCCGAAGCACGGAGGACCTTCAGATAGTAGATTTTTGTCCACCCATTTAATTACCAACCACTACGAAAGTTGCTTAACTTCAACAATCACAGCCGAAAGCGGTTACTACTTGCGCCATCGAACTCCTCATTTCTGCCTACTATAGCTTTTACTCATTAGACCTATTCCATCGTACTGCAGTTGTTCATGCGTTCGTGCATCATCATCATCATCATCAGCCTATTAATGTCCCGACTGCTGGGGCACAGGCCTTCCCTATGGACGGAATAGGGAGATCGGGCTATGACCCACCACGCGGGCCCAGTGCGGATCGGTGGGTGCTAACGACTGCAGATGCAGCCGGGACCAACGGCTCAACGCGCCTTCCGAAGCATGCAGGGGCTCGAGATAGTAATTTTGGTCACCCATCCAATGACCGACCTCTGCGAACGTTGCTCAAGTTCAACGATCGCAGCCGAAAGCGCTAACCACTTGCACCATCGAGCTCCTCGCAGTCGTTTGTCGTCTTTTAAATCCAGCAACCTTCGCATTGCTGGCAATGCGAACAGCAAAATTTTTTTCTCGCCTCTCTGAAATGCATACCTGCCAAGATCCCGAGGGCGGCAGTCCAGTGACGAGCACGCGGAACTCCGATCGCCTGGCGGGCGGGCCGCGTGCGGCGCCGCGCGGGAACCGGTCCCCGCCGCCCCCGCCGCGCGCGCCGCGACCGCCCCCGCCCCCGCCGCGGGGGAACTCTACGCGCAGCCGGTACCCGTCGTAGTCGTAACCGTCGCGCGCGCGCACCGCGTCGTCCGCGTCTCTGTTGTCAAGATCTTATTGAAATTATGTGCATATGTTGACTTTTTTGAATTCGAATTGCAAGAGGGAAAGTGAATCTATATAAATCAAAATGAGTGAATGTAGTAACGAATGGGTACGAAATGAATGTATGAACACACGATTTCTTCGATTGTAGATTCTCTCGCCGAAGGATAGATGGCGTTAACACAGGTAGATTATCAAAAAGTATTGGACAAATATTTTTCTTTTTTCACATAATATAAACATTGCAGAGATATATTGATTTGAAAAGTCGCATGACTTCACGGTTTAGTACAATTTTCACTTAAAAGTGATGTCACGAGCCCCTACTCCCAAACTTTGACGCACTATAACTTTGTGATTTTTTGGTTGATTACCCAAAGAAAAAATACATGTCCATTCTTTTTTGATCATCTTAATGACAGACTTAATAGAATTTCGTTTACTGTACCCTATCATCACCCCTATTGGTGTGTGTTGGAAATATTAAAAAAATATATGATATACGACAATTTGAAAGCTGAACCACACCATCCATCTCCCATTGTGAACACCTTAGTTTTTAACCCCATTTGAATGTTCGAAGATTGTACTTCAAGAGACAAAGAAGAAGATGGGAAGTCAATATAATATTTTTTCTAGGTCAACAACCCATAAAGAAGCAAACACCACCAAGGGAGCACTTCAATGTATTCAGTTTGATTTTATTGTATTAAAAAAAATATCTAAATTTTTTCTTCATTTAGCAAAAGCATGGGATATTTAACAGAATGTCCATAGAACTTTGACTGCAGTATATATTTAAACCGAACATTAAGCAGGGCAAACATTTTGTGCTACACTCAACGATATTAAATACCCGATATACAACAACACGAACAAGATCGTGGCTGAAACCTACCCAAAAAGTACATTGGACAATCCACTGAACTCCTTAAGATGATTTTGTTGTCTAAACAATATAGTGCTAATGCACTTACTATTTACACATTGAAAGTCACCTTAAATGCATTCAGTATAAGGTATTTATAAAAAGCATGCGTCAAAGAGTTATGACCATTTGAAATACAAGCTCGTTAATTTTACGCCTTCTTGTCATGTGTGGAAGGTTATCTGACTTAATTTGTTTGACTCTATGCGCAATTTTGGATGCGCTGTTAGCAATATTGCAGGTATGAACCGCAAGGAAAAGTGATGGGTATATAACAGACCCTGCATTTGAATATCACAAATATTTTACATTAGATCCGTTTATAGTAAGTAGTAGAACAAATTTTGCTTCAAATGTGTTAAATTAACAAACATTGATTAGATACCTGTCCAAAAACCATACTTTACGTACTAAAAGGTTTTCTTTTTTTTCATTTTTTCATGAAGCTCTGCGACATATGACTTTTTTACCGTCCGCATGTGACTGTGAACCAAAAAGTGCTTGAGTAGAGTTCTAGCACTTCTTGACAGGGACACATTTTGAATGCATGTGGTTTATCTAGGTTATTTAATATTGTCGGCTACACTACTAATTACTACTTGGCTTGCTTAATTTTTTTGTTAATATGTATATTGCTTTATTAGAAATTCACTTATTCATTACTCACTGAAACAATGGAAACTAAGAGAAGGAATACAAATGAATTATTTATTTGTTTCATCAGCAAACATGATTTTTAGGAAGGAACATTAAAATAATACAGTATTTATCACCACATACATGTATTTTATGAATTACATTTAGTTCCCAGGTTTAATAACTTTAGTGCTGATATGATAAGCCAATTAATATGCGCCTTATCTATAGCATTTGAAGACATTGGACATGGGAAAAATACCAGAAGCATATAGGCCCGTAATATAGAAAGATTCTGTGATTGATCTAGTCTTGAGCATAGTTAGAAAGGGATGTTGCTATAATAGCACATAGCGATATCCCTTTCTAACTGTACTCGAGTAAAGATCAACACTTAGTTGTCTTCTGTAATACGGGCCGTAGAATTCATGACTATAAAAATTAAAATTTAATTAAAATATGGGACACTAAAAAAGGCAGCACTCTGACCAATAAATTATTTTAAACTTTGTTCCTTAGCTTTAAAACGCATTACTGTACCGCGAAGACCATGTGCATTTGACTTTACCAGACATGGGAAAAATACCGTTCCTATCATTAAAACTTCATTACACCAAATTTTATATTACAAACGTAGGTATCTAAATTAATAAGCTTGGTCGTGGTAGTGGAAATACTTATCTAGCAAGAGGCGTTGTTTCAAATAGATAATACGTAGGTAGATGATGTAAAATAATTGGGCCGAGACAACAAGCTAATCGACGTAAAATGTTAGTAACTTTACCTGGGATCCTCAAACTCCACAAAAGCGAACGGTGGTCCTTTTCTGTTTTTCAGGTCGACGAAGGTAACTTTGCCGAATTTATAGAATAGGTCTTGAATGTCCTTTGTCCTTATGTCTGGAGGTAAGTTACCAACGTATATTCTGCACTCATTCCTATTGCTACCACTTCCACCAGACATTGTAAATATTTATTAGTCCTAGTTAACTGATTTTAGTCTTTATTTTTAACAAAATAGTACGGTAAAATTCTTGCCGTGTTCAATTAATTAGCTACGATCAAACATGGCGTCTCACGCGATAGCGAGTCTCCGCGGCGACCACATACAAACTATTAATGACACTACGCATCAGACGGGAATCTTCGAAAAACCAATAAGAGCACGGTACTTTAGAGTTTGACACATTTTTTTCTTATATTTAACAATATGGCTGCTTGGTGTCCGCTTAAGCAGTATTTATGCGGGCTATTTAAAATACCAATACCGCGAAATTTTTAATTCATATTTACTGAAATTATTGATTATTTGACCACTTGCAGCATATTTGCAAAAGCTAGATTTAACTAAAACTAGATTTTACCCGTAGAAGTGTCAAAATGTCAATTTAACAATATTGTAATCGAGAACTGGCAAAATTGCAGCAACTGGACAATGATGTCGTTTCTGGCATAATTCTCTAAAGCTAAACTTAAATTTGACAACAGTGCATCCTTGTCCTTCTCTATACAAAATGAAAAGGTGAGACTGATATTAAATTTAGTTTTAAGTTTAGAGAATTACGCCAGAATTGACACCATTATTAGATTAAAAGATTCAGAAATAGAAAAATAAAAAAATGTTAAAATTAGACTTATAACGAATATTCGGTTACTATTCGTTATTCGGCCTATTCGGCTGCTTTTATTATATTCGGCCGAATACCGAATATCTACATATTATTCGGCCGAATACCGAATACTTGTATAATATATTTTGTCATAGAGAAATAATTGGTAAAATGAAAAATTAAAATCGATTGATTACGTATATATTCATATTTTCATTTATGTTATATAATAATTTAAGTAGACGCTGGTACATAAAACTTCTGAATTAGAAAGATGGAGGATACATAGGGTATTTGAATTATTGTGGTAATCAAAATTTAGAAGAGTAAGGTTCTCATTTCTTTTATAATCATTTATTAAATAGTCATTGGTACATAAAACAGGTACATAATTTAATCATTTTCTGTATTATACAAATTAACAGTTTTTAATTCATTCAGTCATGTGATGAATGGTTATATAATAGCAAAAATTTAAAGTTTACTTGCCGTTTTTGGCCATATCTTAGGTTTTGTCCTTTAGCCTCATTTTAGCTTGAGGACGGCAGATTAGAACAAAACAAAGGAGCGCGAAATAATCACGTACAAGTTTTTGGCGCTAAAATCCAGCCGAATACTTTTGCCTAATATTCCGCTATTCGGTCAGGGGCCTCGCCGAATATTCGGTATACTGCCGAATATACTATTCGTTGCAAGTCTAGTTAAAATATTTAACAAAATAAAACTCTATTTTTCATAAATTCAAAGCAGTTTAGTTAATATTACTTATGTAAATGTAACATGACCTAAATGATATTTAAAAAAACAAATAAACATTAATTAAACTTCAACCGTGCATCTGCACCGCAATTAACTTATAGAGCAACACTACACAACACAACATAAAACTTTGGTAACATTTGGTATTATAACTAACTTTTGTAGTCACTTCATATTATTTGATTGTTACTCATTGCGTTCATATCGCTATAATCTAACAAAATGTAACAAAGAATAACTATCGGCAATAAATTAAAAGGGCCATGTTGCTTAACACATGGCTATATAAAATATGTATATTGGAAATCGCTACTTTTAGCTGAAAATTACCTGGAATAATTACAGGTTTCACACAGAGTACATGGAGAAGGCATATTATCGCATTCTGAAAATAAAGTTTAAAAAAAAAGAAAAAAAATTTAGTAACATTACAATAATTATAAAAACAAGACCTTCCGGTTAGTTGAGCAATATTTCCATCAATATTCATAATGGACGAAGTAGCGTGAAGAAGTAACATGCAGGCCGGCAGGGTGAGGATGGCTGCTATAGCAGCTATTTTCGCGTCTGGACTTCACCGTCACTTAACATCAGCGGGTCAATTATGCTTTAGTGATATAATCCTATCATGATGTCAATGTGATGTTGATGCCAAGTTGACATTGTTTTTAAATGGTATTATGAAAAATTCCTATGTCACATCAAGATCATATCAATAACATATCCTGTATCACTTTTTTGACGTTTATGCGATACTGTTTTAAGTCAAAAAGTTGAACGTAATACGCATTTAAGTTGATATCATTTTAAAGAGTTGATCATAATACGCATAAGTTGATGTCATTTTGATATCGTATTTTTCGGAGAGCATAATACGTAATGTGAAATTGACATCAAAACAATATCACAATTGGCGAGCATAATTGGCCTGCTGGTGGGGTGGGGTCAATAATAAAAGAAATCTAGTTCTTTAATCATTGGGTGGGGTGGAGTCATTTGTCGAACCTATCGATAAAAAAAAGTAACGGAAGGGGGCGAGGGAAATGTCAGATTCTTAAGTACCGTTCCTTGTCTATGACCACAAAATTGGATTTTTGGATGGATGAAGATTCCATGCTGTGGCGGCGACCATGACAGTTTGATAGAACCATAGACTATGGACGAATACTTCGCATGGCTGTTCGCATTTAGTATTGCTAAGTAAGTAAGCTGTAAGGCTATTTGAAGTCTGTTGCAAAAATTATGTTCGCCCTATTGGAAAGTAAACCAGTAACTGCTCGTTGACGCGTTACATCACAATCACAACACCACACACAACACAACGACAGATAAGTGTAGTTCTGCCTTACTTGTACTCAGAGCCGAACACCCACTCTATGACATTGTCGTATGTCAGCCACTTCACACCTACCAGTACAAACTATACACTATTGTGCTTACCAGCAGAGCAAGACGCTAAAGTGTTACCAAAGCATGGTCACAGATCACACTAAATTGACTAATAATGATTATGCAAATCACGTTTTTATTCAGTATCATTTGAAGAGGAAGGAATATATTGATTTACGTGATTTATATCTACTATCTACCTTTAAGAAACCACTTTCGACTTCGAAACAATGTGACAGAGATTTTTGAAAATACCGATTCAATAAACAAGGCAGAAATATATATAAATATATATCGTGTTGTGTTGGGACCAAGGAACTTTTAAACTAATTGGAATGCTTACGAATATGGGAATCAAAAAAATGTATTCTCAACTAGTTAAACATTAAGTAATTTTTTTCTACCTTTATGAGAGGGAAATAATACTCCAAGCGGGACAACGACAAAAAAAAGAAACTGCCCTTTCTTGCAATTGTCAGTGTTAATATAAATAATCAAATGGTAGTTTTCACACTACCTCGATAACCAGTTATAAGAACAAGAACGTACAGTTTGAGAGTTAAATTATCATATATGTTTGATTGCAGTTAGTATATTGATATCAATGCAGCCAAAAATGTGTTTAGTTTTATTTCAACGGATAACTTATCTAATAAAATTGTTTAAAATGGTAGTTTTTGGCAGTAACTTGCATTTATGCATGAGAACACTTGCGATGCTTCCAATAAACAATATGGCGATATTCTACCGGATTGAAGTTTTATTTATGCTAACTACAAATTATTTTATCAAATTCTTGTGATTTTTGCTGTTGCAAAATTATATTTTTTTTATAAAAAAGGGTATAAAAGCTAAGCGTATGCTTGTTGTAGAATTTCATTAATAGGTAAGGTTTTGACTTCTGTTTACAAATTACATGTGTAGGGTGACAAAACATTTTCGATTTTCCTACGGAAAGTATAATGTCATCATCAGCACCAGAATACTAATACACCAGATAGAATGAGGAAATTGGTATAAGATCCACCACGCGGGCTCAGGGCGGATACTAAAGACTGCAGTTGCAGTCGGGTCCAACGGCTTAACGTGCCTTCCGAAGCACGGAGGAGCTCGAGTAAGTAGGTATAATTTAAGTCATTCATTCAATAACCGACCACTGCGAAAGTTGCTTAACTTCAACTTTCGCAGCTGAACGCGCTAAACACATCGAGCACTTCCAAATTATATGTACTTAAATTAACCAAAAAGGGAAGGCACGGTACTCTTATCATCAAATAAAATATGCTCCGACTCAAAACACACGCACATAACTGTAAATAAACATTCAATCGAGGAATACGATACGACAGGACGGGTGGGTAAGCGGATGTAATGTTATCATATCTAACGCATTCAATATATTTGAAACCGAACACCTCGAGTACCGTGTCTTCCCTTTTTGTTTAAATCTAAGTATATGTACTACCTTCTAACTGTAATAGAAAACGTACGGTCAAATATTACTATGAACGAAGTACATAGTAATGAATGATGAACAACCGACGTGCATGTATCAAAAAATTTATGACAGCGAATGAGGCAAAATACTTTTTTGCCTGCAAGGATCGTAGTAATCCCGATAATCAAGTGTGTATGTAAGAAGATAAAATAATCATGCACCTTAGTTTACTGATAACTAATAGTAGGTAATTTATTTTTGCTGTTTCCCAAAGAATGAGAACCTTTGGCAACAGTGGCTCGAAATTGTTCCATTTAATAGCCAATATTCAACTTATAGTTTAATTTGCAGCCATCACTTCAAAATATATATGTTCATCAAAAAGGTAAATATCATTTAGACTATATATATATATATGTTATAAACGCTATCGAAAAGCTTCTATTTTTTAAATTAGCCAATTATATTTATCAGGACAAAAAAATGTATACCAATGTACCTAAAACTTTAAGGATAAAAACTAAACATCAATTGATAAAACGCTGCTTCGTGTTTTTTAAGACTTTTAAAATAATAATCTGTAATTTAACTAATAAATTAATGAAATATTATTCAGTGGTTTTATTTTCATTATTGTTTTCCTAGTAACATAGAATTAAATAAAATATGAAGTAAACATAAGAATTATTTAAAAACGTATCGTTTGACAAATTAAAATTGAAATTTGAGAACCGTAAATCGTGTTCAATGCTAGATAATAAACAAATACAATAATGGTGTCGATTCTAGCATGATTCTCTAAACCTAAACTTACATTTGACAGCAGTATATCCTTGTCATTCTCTATACAGAATGAAAAGGAGAAACTGATGTTAAATTTAGTTTTAAGTTTAGAGAATCACGCCAGAATTGGCACCACTGAAAAGCTACATATTTAATAAGCTCGGAAGGTCGTATAAGGATTTTAATATTTTTTTTGGACTTTCAATCAAAGGATATAGAATAGAAAATTTGGGATAGTTATATATCTCATCACTTATGTTACTGTATGGACACACTACTAGAAAGAGACAGCTTCCACTAATGGAGGTTTACTCTTCGGAACGCTTTTGAGGGTCATGTAAGCATTACAGGTATTATATAAGTTCCTTCGTTGTGACGGGATCGGTTTCATACATTTAGTAGGGTTAGAACTAACACTCTAAATGTATCAAAAAGATAGCTCTCTCATCAGAGAGACGCATACGCATCCGTCACATCACAACACAACACGAGAGATAAGTGTAGTTCTGCCATTAGTTCTAGGGGAGCCTATAATACAGTTTGTCTATAAATATTATGCTTTATAAAGATCGAAAAGGATAGACCAATGTTATTTCTGTTTACAAATAGTGAATACGAATCATACGAATAGCCGAGTGAGGTGCACGCAAAAGATAGCGACAATTGGCCTCCGTACTGTGCTTCTCTCTGGGCACGTTGGTAACAATGGAGACGATTCTGGTATGATTCTCTTAACTTAAAACTAAATTAAACATCAATCTCTCCTTTTTGTTCTGTATAAGGTATGACAAGGATACACTGGTGTCGATTCTGGCGTGATTCTCTAAACTTAAAACTAAATTTAACATCAGTCTCTCCTTTTCATTCTATATAGAGAATGACAAGGATAAACTGTTGTCAAATTTAAGTTTAGGTTTAGAGAATCATGGTAGAATCGACACCACTCTGCACTTTCTGTTTGTGTTGTAGGATTTTGATTGTACCATAAGGAAGGATTAAACTTTGGACACGTGCTTTGATTCTTTTTATCAATAATAAATAAATAATGATTATTCTTGTAGTGACGTCACGTTGCTATTGAATTCAAATTACTGGCCACTATTACTACAAAACAATATTTTAAATTACTTTTAAATTTCGAACGCCCTCTAGCGCACAAGGGAGTTTCATTGAAAGAAGCTTGTGAAAGAATCCTCTAGAAAGTAGGCATAGAATCTCCGTGGAATCTCCGGTATCAAAATCTTTACGTGAAATTTTATTCATTTTCCGAAGTAAATGTAAGTTTTTATTTATTTTAATAAAAATAATTGTATTGTTTCTTATTACGAATAATTATTAACGTGAATTTGGTTAGTTTTATACTGTTTTAGTAAATTAAGATTGTGAATTTTTTGCAACATATTCCCATCGTGTTTTCGCTAAAATGTGCAGTTAATGCGTCTATTGATTTAACATATTTATTTCCATAGTGATAACCTAGAGAATGCGGTATCATTTCAACTTGATTATCGAATTTGGTCCGCGCACATTGTGATTTTACGCTATTTAATGACGGGCATTATTGCTAAGGCCTCTGTTAGAATAAGTACGAAAAAATCTAGTCAGGGCAACCAGGTTTCCAGGTATAGCATTGTGAATGGTGTAAAATTTTCACGAGACATTTATAAATTCTTATCATTATATTTCCGAATAATGTTGTTGATTGGCGCTCCATAATTTGTAAAGGGCGCGCGCTGGTGCCGCAGAATTCACGGCTGACCTTTACTGGAGGCTATTTTTAGCATCCTGTTGTACATAAACAATCAATGATCAATCCCATATCATAGTTATTCACATACCAAATGGAACTGTTGACAGCAATTGTGATAAGTTTTACTTGTTGGAGATAAGATGCAATGATAGATTGTATTTTCGCTAGCCTATGTCGCTGGCTGTTATTTAGCTTGCAAATAATTTACAAGCAAATTATTTGTCTAGACCAAGTTTTTTGAATATATATTTTTTCTCATAGTGGTATTGATTTTGACAGCAAAACAGCAGACAAAATGTGTGACCGCAAGGCGGTGATCAAGAATGCTGACATGAGCGAGGAGATGCAGCAAGATGCTGTTGACTGTGCAACACAAGCGCTTGAGAAATTCAACATTGAAAAGGTTTGTTCCTTCATATTTCTCTGCATGTAATGAGCTTTAAATTTTGGCAGCGTTCTTCAGACTTTGTCTTGTCTTTTTTATTCTTTAGAAAGCATATTAAGGATAAAGTACTGACAGAGAAGAGAATTAAGCACAGAATATGGCCCATTGTTATATTGAATGGTCTTTTGAAGCATTTTGTCTATTATAAATTAGTCTTAATTGTAATTTCCTTTGTTCAGCCAGATGGAACCAGTAGGAAGTGAATGTCTATTGTTAACCATTTGCTCATTGGCCCAATTCTTTTTAATTCCAGGACATAGCTGCATTTATAAAGAAAGAGTTCGACAAGAAGTACAACCCAACGTGGCATTGCATCGTGGGGCGCAACTTTGGCTCGTACGTGACGCATGAAACCCGCCACTTCATCTACTTCTACCTTGGGCAGGTGGCCATACTGCTCTTCAAGAGCGGCTAGACGTTGTAACTAGGATGTGGGGCCCCGACGATCTCACATTCCCAGTGGCCGCTGGCGACCGCTCCCCGGGCCCCACACCCTCTATAAGCTATATAACTGTTAAGGTTACATATGACTCGGGTAACTTTCACTTCTAGTGTATTTATATTAATGAAAATTTTAGTTAATTATCCTAGACTTATTACCTAGCATAGTGTAAAAGTCATATATGTTAGTACCTAACTAAATTTATTGTTTAATTTCTTTGTTAATATGTTCACTGGAGATATTTTCAATACTTCTATAATTATTAAACTTTCTTACAAACCATTTTTCTTTTATTTGCTTTTTAATATGACTACTTGGTAGGCCTCCGGTAGGTAATTCAACTTAGGCGATTAGACTTGGTTGTTAGCATGAATAAGGGTACCAATGGAATTCGGGTAAAAGACAGTCTTAATGAACCTCTGTTCCCACCTGTTCTGTTGAGTAGTTCTGTCAACAGAACTATTGTTTTTTTTTTTTTTTGATTTATAAGACTATGCTTTACACCCTTCTTCAATCTCAAATATTCTGGTACGTAGTTCTGTCGATGGATAAGACCAGTGAACGTTAACAATTTACTTTCATAAATATGTAATAATGCAGTTTCTCTTATAACAAAGACATCCTAAAGCAATAATTTAATAGTGCGCAATAATATTAATCTCAATCCCAAATGCTGGATTTTATGACAGGTGTGTCTTGGATAAGTTTATGAAATACGAGTTTCTGGATGAAAACTAGGCGCATCAAGTCATGGACTGCCTTTGGTCGGCGCCAAATGTACCGAATGCAACTACTTAACGGGGACATTGGGATACCTTTGTTTTTTAAAGAAACTTCGTATTATTTTTAATCCTTTACGATGTCTTTGTTGTAAAAGAAACTGCATTATTACATATTTGTGAAAGTAAATTGTTAACGTTCACTGGTCTTATCCATCGACAGAACTACGTACCAGAATATTTGAGATTGAAGAAGTAGAAGGGTGTAAAGCATAGTCTTATAAATCACATAACTAATGGTAAAAAAACCCCAATAGTTCTGCCGACTGCTGCCGACATAACTATTCAACAGAACAGGTGGGAACCGAGGGTTTATTTACACTTGGTCGTTGACCCGAATAGGGTGATGACTATTTTTTTTTACTTCGTTTATCAGGTACATTATCAAAAAGTATTGGACACGTATTTTTTCCTTTTTCACATAATATAAACATTGCAGAGATATATTGATTTGAAAGGTCGCATGACGTCACGTTTGAGTACACTTTTAAGTGATAATTCACTCAAAAGTGACGTCACGAGCCCCTACTCCCAAACTTTGACGCGCTATAACTTTGTCATTTTTTGGTTGACTGCCCAAAGAAAAAATACGTGTCCATTATTTTTTGACCATCTAGCTGACGGACTAAATAGAATTTCGTTTACTGTACCCCGTCATCACCCCTCTTCCATTGGCATTTGTATTCGGGCTAACGTCCAAGTGTAATTCCACCATCAATATTGCTTCGGGTGCCTGAATTCGAGTAATGTCTTTCGTGCACTCCAATACGGGCTAACGGCCAAATGTGACTGCGCCATTAGTTACGGAGCACATCAGCACACATCGCCGTGTATGGGTGTGCTGGCGAGTTGATTTTTTTATCAATAGAACTAGTGGAAAGTTCCAATTTGTTTTGTTAGTACATCATCATCAGCCTATTAATGTCACCACTGCTGGGGCACAGGCCTTCCCTATGGATGGAATAGGGAGATTGGGCCATGACACACCACGCGGGCCCAGTGCGGATTGGTGGGTGGTAACGACTGCAAATGCAGCCGGGACCAACGGCTTAACGTGCCTTCCGAAGCACGGAGGAGCTCGAGATAGTAAATTGTTGGTCATCCATCCAATGACCGACCACTGCGAAAGTTGCTTAACTTCAACGATCGCAGCCGAACGCGCTAGCCACCTGCGCCATCGAGCTCCTCAAGTTTAACTTTGTTAGTACTTAGTACTTTGTTAGTACAATGTTTCCTAATAGAACAACAGTGTGGTAGAATTCTTTATTCCCAACCAGAGGCGGCGTAAGGCGTGGGCGACGTGGACCACCGCCTACGCGCCTCAAAATTTTTTATGCATTGCTTACAAGCGAATTTCTTTTTTTTATTACTTTATAAAATCCGTCTTCGGGTTGCCACAGAACAGGGCCTCGCGAAATCTGTGTTGCCCACATCAAATTTAGGTCTTGCCCCGCCACTGTTCCCAACAGTTCCCATGTAGCTAGTTCCACATGAGACTGTATTCTAACTCCGTAGTTCCATGTATGGAACTAGTAGGAATAAAATTAATTGTAACTATATATGTATATTCTAGATGATGTAATGGAAAGTGACTTCAGACGTATTTCTGAAGTAATTTTTCAACTTGACGACACTGTATATAACAATACAGGGAGAAAAAAACAGCCCTTGCTGAGTTTCTTGCCGGTTCTTCTCTGTACAAGGTCTCCCGCCGTAGTTTTGCGAACCGATGGCGTAGCTTCTTGACCTTCACAAGGCCTTGTAACAGCCTAGACTGAATAAATGACATTTCATTTCATTTCATTTCAGTGGGAGTATTACCAAACTTAAAGGGTATATTCTCAGTAGTTCCATAAAAAGTAATCATAATGTCGCGACTACATTTCTGCCGTCCTCAAGCTAAAACGCGGCTAAATGATAAAACCAACTTTTTAGCTATGTTCAAAAAACGGCTCGTAAACATTAAATTATTGCTATTTTGTAACCATTCATCAAATGACGGATTTTTAGACTCAAACTATAAAAGATAGGTACGTTAAATACAGATCGATAGAGAATTAAAAATTGTATAAGATGCAATTTAAGACTGAAAAATCGACCATATGTCACATAGCCGCACTTTAGTTTGAGGACGGCAGATTTGGTCGTTAGCACGAATATAAGTGCAAAGTGCTTATGGAATTTAGGTAAACGACTCATCATCATCATCAACCTATTAATGTCCCCACTGCTGGGGCACAGGCCTTCCCTATGGATGGAATAGGGAGATTAAACGACTACTTAAGTGTAAATGAATGGTGTCGTGTACACCCGTGTATTCGGGTAGTTTTCGTTTATTCAAGTGTAAATAATGCTTCCGGGACCCGGATTCGAGTGATGTCTTTCGTTTACCCGAATACGGTGTAACGTACCGTAATTATTACTTTCGTATTTTCCACTTATAGCACAGCGGTGACACTCTCTGTACGTGAGAGTTCCAGCGTCAGTGACCTTGAGCAGGAGCGTGTATGCGCTAGGGTTGAACTTGGAATTTAGACTTGTGCCAATGAATATTTATGCATAGTAAGTTATCAAATGTAAACTGTATCAAGGGTACTGGGGTAAATAATGAAGGATAGGTTTGATTTTATAATCAATTTTTAATCTTTTAATGTAGGTACTATAACAAATTGCTAACTTTTTATATATTTTCTCCTATTTCGATTCGTTTTATAATTCTTATTATTATCTAAATAATGATAACATTGCGTAGCGTAGTCAGTCTGTGCGTGCAATGCAATGCAACGCTATTATTTTACTATTTCGCTACTGCCATGCCTTCGTTCGAGGCAGTCGGCGACTGCCCTCTCCACGCCCCGCGCGCCGCGCAACGCCCCCGCGCACCTCCAGACACCCACACATAGCCGCGGGCGATTTTACGAGCACACATGCTTAAGTGTCGCTTCTTTTCGCGTAGTGTATATATTCTGTGCTTATAGCACCATCATTTGCACATCACGCCACCATCATACGAACACATGAGATTTTTCTCTAAATTAAATATGAGACAATTTGACCTTCATTATATTTGCGTATTACATGGCCACCCAACTACCCACCATGAATACTTAAAAACAATCATTGAAGCTCATTATCGCTACCCATTTCAGATACCTATTAGAAACCATTACAACACCAGATAACGGGTCACTTGATATCATATTCCTTTCGCGGAAAAGTCGCAATTTGGCAACACATCTAGATAACCACTTGTTTACACCTTGCTATAAAAGCTCCGAATTGCTCGGGACTAACTAAGACATTCTACATCTGATCCTCGCCTCAGGCAGTCATCAAGACTCATCTACCGATTCGCGACGCTATTTCATTCATATAACACCTCTCCAATTAGTCTAAGTGTAAGTGTAGTTTATTTAATTACCACTGTGCCAATCTGGCATCAACTGGTTTTTATTTCACGAAGACTCCAGGCCTTCTTCAATGTCTTCAATGACTTAATTCCTCTTGGGAATATTCATTGCTATGCAGACGATAGTACAGTGCATGCGGGGTATCTCGGACAAGCAGCGGCTGGGCTGGCGGTAACCAAAGAGAAACGCGAGAATCTTGTCATTGAACTCAATCAGGCTTTGGACCACATTTCCGAATGGGGTACCAGGAACTTGGTTGAGTTCAATGCCAAAAAAACTCAGGCTTGCGCTTTCACGGCAAAAACATCGTCATTCCTTCCCCTTCCATCTCTTCAGGGCACAACACTACCGCTGCAGAGCAACATTTCCATGCTCGGTATGGAAGTTCGCTCAGACCTGAATCCAAAGAACTACATCGAAACCGTGATCAAAACAGCTTCACGCAAACTCGGAGTCCTGAACAAGGTGCGGCGTTTTTTCACGCCCGATCAACTGTGCTTGTTGTACAAAACGCAAGTGCGGTCCTGCGTGGAATATTGCTCGCACCTCTGGGATGGCTCCGCCAAGTACTTGCTCGATGCTTTGGATAGGTTACAGCGACGCGCGATCCGCATCATAGGCGATGAGGAGGTGACTAAACACCTTGAGCCTCTTCAATTACGCCGTGACGTGGCGTCACTAAGCGCGTTCTATCGTCTGTACCACGGCGAGTGTTCTGAGGAGTTATTCTCTCTTATCCCACCTTCTCCTTTCCTTCAGAGGACCACGCGCGCTGGCCTACGTTGTCATCGTCTAACTGTGGCCACAATTCCAACGCGTACAAAGAAATTTGGTGACTCATTTCTTTGTCGCACTATCCGTAAATGGAATGCTCTGCCCGCTCACGTGTTCCCTCCCTCTTACAACCTGGGATCCTTTAAAAGAGGCGTGAAGAAGCAACATGCAGGCCGGCAGGGTGAGGATGGCTGGTGTGGCAGGTAAAACTGCTGTATCAGCTATCGTCACGTCTGGACTTCACCTTCACTTAACGAGTCATTTGTCGGACCTATCTATAAAAAAAAAAAAAAAAAAAAGGCCGAACGGGTACATGACAAAAAATGGTTTCAGAAGTGCGATCCGTGGCACTTGCTCTTCTTTAAAATACCTGACGATTTAAGAAGAATCAAGCAAGGCGGTCTCTAGACCTTGGCTCGAAAGCTGATTCACACACATATATATACCTATATATACAACGGCACACCACGTCGGTGGTACTCTTTCAGCACTTGACCGTGACGGTTTTTAGTCCAGTCAATGAAGGCAAAAATTGGCTGCAACCTCCGATTTCGTTGAACCTCCATCGATTTTCATGAAAATTGGTGATTCGGTGGCTGGGGGATACCTTAGGAAACAAAAGTGACATAGTGCCAACTTGCGCTTTTGCCCTGCGGGTAGATGCCACCTCTTCCCGGGGGGTGAAAATTATAATTTTTGTAAAAACTCATAGTTTTTGAGTTATCTATGAAAAACCGCTTTAAAACATGTACTTAGGTATTTTTATCACGAAAAT